GGGAGGGAGAGGCTGCGGGCCTTCGCTGAAGGCCCGGGAGTTCCCCCAGACTTCCGAGAAGTTTGCTGGGCCCTCCCCGAAGACACGCAAGTGATCGTTTTTGATTCATTGATTTGCCGATCCTCGCGGGCCCCCCAACCCCCCCCCCTATGGGGTGGATCTAGGCTTTTTTTTGTGGCGCCTGTTTCGAGCGGGTGACGTCCCCCACCAGAGGCCGCCCTCTTGCAACCAGTCGCATCAAGCAGAGGTCTGGAGCCAGACCCCCCCCCTTCCCCCCCCCTTCCTCCCAACATCGCAACGCCGAATAAGACAACGCTCACTGATACGTCCGAGAAGGCGCGGGGGCCTCCTCCTCCTCCTCCTCCTCCTCCTCCTCCTCCTCCTCCTCCTCCACCCTCCCCCTCCTCCTCCTCCTCCTCCTCCTCCACCTCCTCCTCCTCCCCTCTCCCTCCTCCTCCTCCTCCTCCTCCTCCTCCACCCTCCCTCCTCCTCCTCCTCCGCCTCCTCCTCCTCCTCCTCCGCCTCCTCCTCCTCCGCTCCTCCTCCTCCTCCTCCTCCTCCTCCTCTCCTCCTCCTCCTCCTCCTCCTCCCCTCCTCCCCCCCTCCTCCTCCTCCATCGGCAGCCACGCCGCCTGCTGCAGAGGCCTCCTCCCTCTCGCTTCCCCCCCCCCTCTCTTATCGCTCGCCGCGGGGCGTCGGGTGCCCTTCGCGCTCCACCCTCGGCGCCCTGCTGCCCTGCCCTGCCCTCTGCCCTGCCCCCCCCCCCTGCCGCTCTGCGGTCCAGGCCCTCGTCCCCCTCCTCGGCATCGCTCGGACGTGTGCATTTCTCCTTCGGCGAGGACCATCGAGGAGCATCCTTGATCATTTGGCCCAAAAAATCCACGCGCGAAACCAAGAAAAAACACAGGGAATGGACGTCCGAGCGATGGCCAGGGTTGCGTGCTGCTCTCTGTCCACCACGGCCATGTTCAGCAGCTTGGTGGGGCACTTCTGCGCCATGGTGGCCGTCTCTGTTATCTGTCCGGCACTGGCAGTGCTCTCTCAGCAGGCATGCTCATCGGTGGGGCTATGGCTTGGTGGTGTCCGCTCCTTCTCCTCCCTCCACCACCAACAAAAAGGGAAAAGAACAACAAACAAAGGAGGGGACACCTTGGTCGGGGGAGTGTAAGACCCGGGTTTGCCAGGACTCGGGTTCGCCATCGTTTTTTGACGACCGCGACTCGGATTTTGACGAGTCGGAGTTTCGTGGGATGTCTGCAGCGGGAGGCCTCGTCAAAATGCGGGCTCGGCCTCGTCATTTTTTTGACGACCTCGTCGGGGATTTCCGAGTCCCCGGTACCCGGGTCTTACGTCTCCCTGACTTGGGCTCAGGAGGGGCTGCGGTGTTCGAGGCGCTCCTGGGAGCGGGGGCGGGGGAGCCCCCTCGCATGCCGAGGTGCGCCGCGGCCGGAAGCGGCAGCCGCCGCTCCTTCTCCGGCGCTGCCTCGGGTTGGACCTGCCTTGGAAAGCGTTTTTTTGATCACGCCCATTTGATCTTTTATGAGTGAAGCCGCGGCGATAAAAAAAGAAGCCGACGACAAATTCAAACGACAAAAAACAAGCTGCCAACGACAAAAAAAACAAGGCGGCGGACAACTCAGTCCGCTGGCGGCGCAGGGCCGCGACAAATTTGAAGTGGCGACGACAACATGCTTGCTCGGGTTGGAGCTGCCTTGGAAAGCATTCGTTTTTTTGATCACGCCCACTTGTGTTTTTTTTTAAAAAAAGAATGAAGCCGCGGCGCCCGTCACGCGCCTCGAGCGCTGTTCGCGTTGAGCCCCCCCCCCCAGCGGCTGCGCGCGGTCTCTCGCGGGGGGGGGGGGCGAGGGCCAGGAGTCGAACCTCCGCGAACAGCGCCGGGGCATGGCTTCCCGACGGGGCGATGGGGGCGCGCGAGGCGTGCAAGGTACGGAGGATGGATCCGGCCGCGAAGGACCCCGAACATCAAGGGCTCCCATGAGGGCGCGAAGTTATTCGCGCTTCGCGCTTCGCGGTCCTCGTTCCTTCTCCCCCTCCTCCTCGTCCTCCTTTTCTCCCTTTGGGGGGGCGGCGCGAGGGCGCGAAGTTATTCGCGCTTCGCGGAGCGCGAAGCGCGAAGCGCGAAGTTGGGAGCCCTAGGAACATGGTGAAGAGTCCGAGTGAATCTTTGACTCCGACCGTAAAGGACACCGAGAAAGAACAGACGACCAAAAAGCCGACGATGAATCAAAAGAGGCTGACGTCAAATTCAAACGACAGAAAACAAGCTGCCAACGACAGAAAAAGGCGGCGGACAACTCCATCCGCTGGCGGCGCAGGGCCGCGACGAATTTGAAGCGGCGACGACAACATGCTTCTGGAAGGCGTTCAAACAGATTGCGGAAACGCCGTTCGCATTGTAAATGCATTGAGGATGCTGACCACACGGCGAATTGTTGCACGCAGTTTGGTCGGGCGATTTGTCGTCGCGCGTGCCGCGCGCCCGGGACGTTTGCGCCCGCGCTGGGATTCCGCACGCGCACTGATGTCTTCGCGCGCGCGCATGGCGCGCGGCGGGATTGGCGCGCGCTGGAGATGCGCGCGCGGCGGTGCAATCGCGCGCGCTTCCGCTGAGGGCGAAGCGCGAGGCGCGCGTACTGCGCCGAGCGGGCGCGCGCGCAGCAATGTAGCGACCCACCGAGAACACCGAATAGTCCGTCCGCGTTGCACACCGCGCGAGGCCAGCGTCGACGCGAGAGCCATCATTCGGGGCTGGCGGCGGCGGCAGAGTTGAATTCGCATGCCGCTCCACGCGGGTCGGCACATTTCAGTGGAGAATGTTGGACATGAGTTCGATGCTTTGTGTCAAACGATTTGTTTGTGGATCCTGCCCTCTAGGTAATGAGGAGGTGACCCGTGTCCACGGCTTGCAAGAAATGTGGCTCTACCTTTCGTTTCGGACACGCTCCCATCTCGGGGAAAGCAGGAGGAAGTGCCCCCGCTTTGGCGCGAGCCATATTCCTGGCTTGAGTTGGCGTTTTTGTTTTCGCGTGGGCTGCGTTCCTGCGCCCGCCTCCGTAGTCCAGCCCATATGCAGTTTTCTTTTTCGCATGTCAACCCTGTCGGCACGCCCGTCACACGCTTCGTGGCCCCACAGGGAGCTCCACCGAAGGCCCCAGCGGCATGGTTCGCATGCCGCCCCCCCCCCCCCTCCATTTTGGCACACCGCTCGCACGCTTCGTGGCTCCACAGGGAGCTCCACCGAAGGCCCCAGCGGCATGAATTGCATGCCGCCCCCCCTCCGTTTTGGCACACCCCGCGCACGTTTCGTGCTTCGTGGCCCCGCAGGGAGCTCCGCCGGAGGCCCCGGCGGCAGCGCCCGCATGGCGGCCCCGCCCCCTTGCCGCGCACCTTTCGCGCGCCCCGTGCCCACAGGGAGCTCCACCAAAGGTCCCCCTGGCGAAGGGTCACCCTTACGCGCAGCCGCTCCTCCTCCTCCTCCTCCTCCTCCTCCCCCTCCCCCTCCCCCTCCTCCTCCTCCCCCTCCCCCTCCTCCTCTCCTCCTCCCCTCCTCCTCCTCCTCCCCCTCCTCCTCCTCCTCCTCCTCCTCCTCCTCCTCCTCCTCCTCCTCCGGAATGGAATGCGCTCCGCCCAATCCAAGACTTGCGCAGCGCGCGCCCCCCCCCCACTCCGGCGCCCGCAACGGTGCTGGTCCTGCCGGACCCCGAAAGGTGCAACGCCAGCCCCTTGACTATCCAGCAGAGACCGAGCCGGGCAGTTCTCACAACGGCGGTAGTCACGACTCCATGTGGTTGCGTCTTTCGCCGGGAGGACTCTTCGGCGATGTCAGCGCCAGAACATTCGGATCGTCTGATTGCCAGCATCTTGGATCATCCAGCGCAGGGAAAGCACACACAAAACCGGAACGTGCACGGGGGATGGACGTCCTGGCGATGGCAGGGGGAGAAGGAGCAGGAGGAGGGCCTTGGACGGGCCCTCCTCCTACTCCTCCTCCCCCCTCAAACAAAAATAACAAACAATAAACCCCTTCTCCCTTCCTCCTACTCCTCCTCCTACTCCTTCTCCCCTCCTCCTACTCCTCCTCCCCTCCTCCTACTCCCTCTCCCCCCCCCAACAAGAGCAGATCATGAACAGACAGGAGGAGGGCCTCGGACGGGAGGGCGCGGTGCAGCGTCGCCGGCGCATCCTCGGGGGCTGCCCCGGCCGACCCACGTCCCCGCTCCTTCCCCGCTCCTCCCTCCGCCCTGCCGCCGCCCGACCCCCGCGACGACGACGCCGATGACGATTGCCGACGACGACGACGACGACGACGACGACGACGACGACGACGACGACGACGATTGGCGACGACGACGACGACGATTGGCGACGACGATGACGATGACGGTTGACGACCGAGGCTCAAGTCGGCCCGTCCCCTTCCGCCACCGATCCCACCCGACGCCGCCGCCGCCGCCGCCGACGACGACGACGACGCCGACGACGACGCCGCCGACGACGACGACGACGACGGCGACGACGACGACGACGACGGCGACGACGACGACGACGACGACGACGACGAGACGACGACGATTGGCCACTGAGGCTCAAGTCGGCCCGCCCCCTTCCGCCACCGATCCCACCCGACGACGCCGCCGCCCCGCCGCCGCGACGACGACGACGCCGACGACGACGCCGCCGCCGCCGCCGACGACGACGACGACGCCGACGGCGACGACGACGACGACGACGCCGACGACGACGACGACGACGACGACGACGACGACGACGATTGGCCCCTGAGGCTCAAGTCGGCCCGCCCCCTTCCGCCACCGATCCCACCCGACGACGCCGCCGCCGCCGCCGCCGACGACGACGACGACGCCGACGACGACGCCGCCGCCGCCGCCGACGACGACGACGACGCCGACGGCGACGACGACGACGACGACGCCGACGACGACGACGACGACGACGACGACGACGACGATTGGCCCCTGAGGCTCAAGTCGGCCCGTCCCCTTCTGCTACCGATCCCGCCCGTGCCCGCCCGCGACGGGACCCGCGCGCGCCTCGGCGGCCCCGCGGCCGGGCCCCCGCCCCCCGGGGGCCCCCCGGCAGCGGCGGCCGGCGCCTCCCCGGCCAAGCCCGCGGGGGGGCGCCCGTGCTGCTCCTGGGGCCCGCGAGGGTCGGCATCGTTCCACCGACCCCCACCCCCAATCCCATCCCCCAATCCCCCAGACCCCCTCGAGCTGTGAAAAAATCACGACGGGAGGTTTTTCACAATTTTTGGCCTCTGGGGGGCCTTACCGGCCCTCGGGACCGTCAAACAACGACTCAGGACGAAAAACCGGTCCCGGGGAATGGGTCGAGACCTCGGGGGGTCGACGTCGTGAAAAAATCATGACGTCGGGGGTCTGGGCCCCAATCCCCATCCCCATCCCCATCCCCTCGGGGCGACCGACCTGGGTGCGGAAAGAGTGGGCACAATGCCCCACAGCAGTTCCTGTGCATTCTGACACAGGACTCGCCGTCCGCGCCGCCGCGGCCTGTGCCTATTTGGGACAGAAGGCCGCCTGCCCAACGGCGGCCGCTGGTGGCTTTGGGACAACACTTGTTGGTGGGCACTGTGCCCATTTTTTCCGCACCCATCCCAGACCCCCGACGTCATGATTGTTTCACGACGTCGACCCCCCGATGTCTCGACCCATTCCCCGGGACCGGTTTTTCGTCCTGAGTCGTTTTTTGACGGTCCCGAGGGCCGGTAAGGCCCCCCAGAGGCCAAAAATTGTGAAAAACCTCCCGTCGTGATTTTTTCATTACTCGAGGGGGTCTGGGATTTCGGGCGCCCAAATCCCCAGCCCGACCCCCACCAGCCCACCACCTCCGGGTGGGGGGGCATGCCCCTCGAGGCTCGAGGGAGGCGGGCTGTGCCCCCCCTCTCAGGGGGGGCAGCTCGGCCAGCGGGGCCACAAGGCCACGTCCGTGGGGGCGGAGATCGGTCCAACGGTGCTCAGAGGGGCCTGGCCAGGGCCGGCGGATGTGCTGATGGGCCGATGTTCCACCACCGCTACCATAGGCAGGAGAGGAAGGAGGAGGAGGAGGAGGGGGAGGAGGGGGAGGAGGAGGGGGAGGAGGAGGAGGAGGAGGAGGAGGAAGGAGGAGGAGGAGGAGGAGGAGGGGGAGGAGGAAGGAGGAGGAGGAGGAGGAGGAGGTGGAGGTGGAGGATGACCTCCCCACCCTCCCTTCTCCCTCGCCCTACCTACGTATGGTAGCGTTGGCGGGAAATTGGCCCTGAGGCGAGGATTTATACATAACCACCGCCTGGAGGACCGATTTTCTCGGACCTCCACAGGCGGTGGATGTGGATGTATTCGGGCCCCCTGGGGGCCAAAACATGTCCACATCCACCTCCCGCTGGGTCTCCAAGACGTCGGTTCCCAGGCGGTGGATATGGCTTCGCATATGTACACTTCGGCGGCGAGCGAGGGGTGGGGGGGAATTAGAAGGAGAAGGCCCTCTCAGAAAGAGGCGGGGCTTCTCAGGAGCCCTCTTGGCCTTCTGAGAAGTTTCCCGTGTCTTCGCGGAAGGCTTCGAACTCCTTCCAGGAGGCCAGGGGGGGGGTCCGAGCCTGCTGAGGAGGCCCGTCCCTGCTCGCTTCCCCCCCTTTGGCATCGCTCGGACGTGTGCATTTTTTCTCGGCGACGGCCATCGAGGACCATGCTTGATCATTTGGCGAAAAAAAGGCACGCACGAAATCGAAAAATACACGAGGAATGGACGTCCGAGCGATGGCGAGCCCTGGGCCAGGGGGGTCCGAGCCTGCTGAGAAGGCCCGTCCCTTCTCGTCTCCTCCTCCTCCTCCTCCTCCTCCTCCTCCTCCTCCTCCTCCTCCTCCTCCTCCTCCTCCTCTTCGCTTCCCCCCCGGGCTCGCCGCCGAACACTGTCTGCGCCGTGTCGCGCGGACGCGGCGACGGCCCCAGCGCGGGCGCTCAGGGCGGAGCGCCGCCGGTGGCCCGGCCTCGGCCGGGGCGGAACGAGCCGGCGATCGAAGAGTTGCCGATCGTGCCAGGGCGTGTGCATTCCCAGAGATCGGGCGTCTCGAAAGAATCGAGGCGGAGGTTTTTCGCAATTTTCGGCCTCTCGGGGCCCCCGCCGGGCCTCGGGACCGTCAAAAAACGACTCGGGATGAAAAACCGGTCCCAGGGAAGTGGTCGGGAGGTCGGGTGCCCGCGTCTCGAAAAAATCGAGACGTCGGATGTCTGGGCCTGGAAAGGGGCCGGGGGCGGACAGAACCCCCAACAGGGACACGTCGATTAGTGAACTGCCCGTTTTCGGTTCTCGAGAGGGCGCCGTGGCCGTGATTTTCCAGGCTTGCGCCCGCCAGGTTTCGGCCTCAGGCCGTTTTCACGAAGCCACGTTTTGCTAAAGGGGGGTCTGTCCATCCCCGATGGACGATCCACGCGGTGCTGGAAGCCTGCGCAGAGGTCGTCACGGCCCGAACTTGCCGCAGATCTCGTCGCCCTCTCCGAAGGACTTGGGGACCCCCCTCCACGATGCGCGCGCTCCTGCTGGCGTCCGCCTGCTGCGGGGCCGCCTCCCTGACCGCCAGGAAGCCCCGGGTGCGCACGAGGACGAAGACGCTGCTGGCGATCCATGGGCGCCCGAGAGGGGGGTGAGGACTGCCCCGATCCCTCCAGGCCTCCCAACTGGAGTCCAAGTAGATGGGGTCGGAGGATGGCGCCGCGTCGCCGAAGCATCGGCGATGTGGCTCGCTGTGGAGCCCGATTTTCTCCACGCCCATGGCGCCGATGCAGCGCCGACGTCGCGGGTGCATCGCCATGCGGCGCGATCCTCCGACACCATCTACTCGGACCCTATTTGGGAGGCCTCCAATCCCAGATTCGCCGTATTTCGGGCGATTTCGCAAGTAGGGCGGGAATTTCCGCCCTTCTTTTCAAGCTCCTCTGATGCCCCCAACGATTCCCGCCCTACTCTGCCGTGGCTGTCTCCGCCATACCTTTGCGGAGATATACGCCCTCCTCTCCCGAGGCGGAAATTTCCGCTCTTTTGTTTCGCGTCGTTTGGAGTGCGTTTCGCACAGTCCCAGATGGCACAATCAACCAGCAAAGTTCGGCGAATCCAGAGACAGCGAAGTCAATCCGGAGCCCTCTGGAACAATCGCGGCGCGCCCGATACATCCTCCAGAACCGCTGGGTCTAAGAGATCCGCCTCTGGGACTTCGATTCAGTGTGCAGTGGGGGCTTCAGAGTGTACAGTGGGGATTTCAAAAACAGCCCACCGTAGGGATGCAGTGTACAGTGGGGATTTCAAAGAAAACCCACTGTACAGATGCAGTGTACAGTTTTTTTTTGAACCCCCCACTGTGCTCTGCATCCCGCTTGATCTGAGAGATCCGCTTCTTGGACTTCGATTCAAGTTCGATGCGGCGGATTCATTTCCGGTCCGAAGGACGGGCGGGATTCCGATCCCGGTCCGATCCGATGCGCTTTTATCCGATCCCGTCCGATCCGTTTTTTTTGCCGACCTGGCTGCGAGTTTTCGATCCGATGGAGGGTGAGTCTGGGAGTGGGGTGGGGATTGGGGGGGTGTCCTTCGGAAGTCTTCGTCGCTGTAATCGATTCATGGAGGTTCTCTCGCCTCGGGGGTGCTTTCCATCAGCTGCGCCTCGTCGAGGGCTTCCCCGGTATGCCCGGATCGACCCGAGCGACCGCCGGAGGCCCGAATTATGACCCGACAGAGACCAGGCGTCGAAGAGGGGGTGAGGTTTAGGTGTGCGTGTGTGTGTGTGTGTGTTTGTTTGTGTGTTTGTTTGTTTGTGTGTGTGTGTGTGTGCGTTCGTGCGTGCGTGCGTGCGTGCGTGCGTGCGTGTGTGTGTATCTGTGTGTCTGTGTGTCTCTGTGGATATCGTGCCCAGCCTTTGGACTCTCTTTGCATGCAGTTCGTTTTTCCGAGTACATGGCCTTCGGCACTTTCACTTGCATCCGTCGCCTGCCCGTTGGTTGACCCCCCATCGGCACACGTAGGATGGTTATCACTCTGGGCGCGTCCCGACCAACCCTGCCTCGTGCCGCGGTGCGCCAACTCTCATTGTCCTGCCCGCCCCCCCCTTCGGCGCACCCCGAGGCGACCATGGTCTACCCGGACGACGAGGTCCCGGTCGACCTCATGATGGAGCACCACCTCCGCATGGTCAGCAGCAACATGAGCATCCTCCAGGGGGCCATCATCGACAACCGCCCTCCGTGGGGCGAGACGCGCAGCAACCAGGAGCCGCGCTGCACCACGCTCCGCCGGCGGTCGCCGGTGTGGGAAGCGGGGTTCGGGGGCGTCCAGGAGGGGGAGGAGGACGAGGGGAAGGATTTGATGGCCAGGGCCGTGATATCTCCCCGATACCAGTGACTCTTCTTCTCTTTCGTTGTCTCTTTTCCGTTAATTGATATGATACGTATTCCGTTCTTTATGTGTCGAATTCGCATTTGTACGATTACGATTATTCTTACTACTACTACTACTACTACTACTACTACTACTACTACTATTACTACTACTATCCTAATACGATGACTACCAGTACTCCTATTAGGACTACTACTACTACTACTACTACTACTACTACTACTACTACTACTACTACTACTCGTACGATTTCTACTACTACTACTACTACTACTACTACTACTACTAGTACTACTACTACTACTACTACTACTAACTACTACCACTACTACTAACTACCCCCCCTTTTACAACTACTACTTTTTACTACTATACTACTACTACGACTGCTAACTACAACTACTACTACTAACTACTACTACTACTACTACTACTACAACTACTTACTACTACTACTACTACTACTACTACTACTACTACTACTGCTATAATTACTATTAGTATTACTACTAGCATTATTACTACTATTACTACTACTACTACTACTACTACTACTACTACTACTACTACTACTACTGGTACTGCTACTGCTACTGCTACTGCTACGACTACTACTTGTACTACTAATTACTACGACTACTTTTACGACTGCCACTACTACTTTTACTACTACTTTTACTACTACTTTTACTACTACTACTACTACTACTACTACTATACTACTACTTTACTACTACTTTACTACTTCTACTACTACTACTACTACTACTACTTACTACTATTACTACTACTACTACACAACTACTACTACTACTAACTACTACTACTACTATACTACTACTACTACTACTACTTTACCTCTACTACCTACTTTAGTGCTACTACTACTATTACTACGACTACTACTACTACTACTACTACTGCTACTACCACTACTACTACTAGACTACTACTACTACTACTACTACCACTACCACTGCCACTACCATTACTACTACTACTACTACTACTACTACTACTACTACTACTGCTACTACCACGACTCCTTCTACTACAACTACTACCCCTACTACTACTACAACTACTACTACTTCTACTATTATTTTTACTACTACTACTACTACTACTACTACTACTACTACTACTACTACTACTGCTACTACCACGGATTTTACTATTACGACTACGACGACGACTATTTTTACTACTACTACTACTACTACTACTACTACTACTACTACTACTATTACTACTACTACTACTACTACTACTACCACTACGACTACTACTACTACTAGTGCTACTACTGCTACTATTGCTGCTACTAGTTTCATCAGTATTGTTTTTATTAGTATTATGGATGGTATTCTCAGTAGTCGCCCCATTAATTTTACTAATGCTCGTACCATTATTAATCATCCTTTGGTTCGTCTTAGAATTAGTTTTATTATTGTTGGTCATATTATGTTCTTTCCATCATCACCATTATTTGTATCATCGACATTATGAGTCGTATTATTAGTATGGGTCATCATAGTACGAATGTTGTTAGTTGTTACTACATTCATCATGAGTCGTATGAGTACCACGATTACTATGAGTAGTCGTACTACCGTTATTCGCATCATCGCAAGTATGGCTGCTATAAAAAGTGTTATATAAGTAATACTCTTTACAGGAACACAGATGTGTTCTTATGTAATACAGTATACTTGTTATCGTAAATAGTGATTGTATGCTAGTAGTACTAGTAGTGTGAGTGTTCGTGGCATTCGTCTTCTTATCTTTTAACACTAACACTACTCCAAAATAGTATCATTATCTGTAGTGGTACTAGTTGTATCATTCTTTTTCGTATTACTACTCATAATACTAAAGTTACGTTTTTGTTATCATTATTATTATTACTATCATTATTATCATTCGTCTTCTTCCCGCGGGGGTGGCACTGGCACCCCTCTCCGGCGCACACGAGGAGGTGGACGAGGTGTTCAGGCCTGGCCTGGCCAGGCGAGGCAGCAGTCGGGACTTGGCCGCCTCGGGCCCATCTTCCTCCTCATTCCTCCTCCCTCTCCGCCCCCACTCCCCTTCTTGCGCCTGGCCCTCTTCCTCGTGCTCCGACTCTTCCTCCTGCTCCTCGTCCTCCTCCTCTTCCTCCTCCTCCTTCTCATCATCATCCTCATCCTCCCCCTTTCCTCCCATCATTCCTCCTCTTCCCTCTCCTTCCCACCTCCTGCTCCTCCGCCCAGTCCTCCTCCTCCCCTTCTTCTGCCTCCACCTCCTCCTCCTCCTCTTCCTCCTCCTCCGATCATTCCTCCCTCTCCTTTTCCCCTCCTTATCCACCGCCCAGTCCTCCTTCTCCTCCTCCTCCTCCTCCTCCTCCTCTCTCTCCTCCTCCTCCTGCTCCTCCTCCTCCTCCTCCTCCTCCTCCTCCTCCTCCTCCTCCTTTGTGACGTTAGGCACGATCGACTGGGATTACTTCCTCCTCCCCTTCCCCCTTTTCCCGCCGCCTTTTCCTCCACATATCCTCCTGCTGCCCTCTTCGCCCCCCCTCCTTCTCCCTGCGGCCAGGACGCTGGCGGAAGGACGCGTCTTCGGGCCCAGGAGGGGCCCGCGTTCTCGGGCCGCCCCTGTGGCTCCCGTCGGGGACCTCGTCTGTGGCCCAGGCCCGCCGTGGCCAGCCAGAAACGCCCCCTCGCTCCTTGCTGGGAACGTTCCCTATGGCAGCGCGATGACCCTTCGCTCCCCAGACATCCTTTTTTGAGCCGCGGGTCGAGAGCGCACCTCTTCCGGTCGAAGCTAGGCTCCCCAGACATCCAGCTAAGTGGGGGTTCGCTCCCCAGACATCCGCCGCTCCGACTTTTCGATCCGCGGCCCCAGAGGTCCCGACCCCTTGCCCGAGGGGTGGCTCTTCGTCGCGGATCCGTTTTTTTTTAGGGTCCCCGGGCCCGAGAACGGGCCCCAGAGGTCCCGAAACCCTTCCCCGAGGGGTGTTTTTCGCCGCCGAGCCATTTTTTTGGAGGGCCCCCGGGCCCGAGAAGGGGCCCCAGAGGCCGAAATCCAGGAGAGACTGGCGGATGGAGAATCTCGGATCCTCGGATCTCTGGTTTTTCGTCGCGGATCCATGTTTGAGGGCCCCCGGGCCCGAGAAGGGGACCCAGAGGCCGAAATCCAGGAGAGACTGGCGGATGGAGAATCTCACATCCTCGGATCTCTGGGTCTGCCCTCCCCGCCTTCCGCCCCCCTCCCGCTCCGCCCTCCTCGTCTTAAGTCGGGCCTGTCCCCCTGCAGGGGGAATACTCCAAAATCGTCAAAACAACAGTCTGGGGACTATCTTTGGAGCATTTTTGTTGACCATTTGGCGCATTTTTTGACTACTTTTTATTTTTCGTCGAACATCCCCCTGTACCCAGACCCCCGACGTCATGATTTTTTCACGACGTCGACCCCCCGAGGTCTCGACCCATTCCCCCGGACTGGTTTTTCGTCCTGAGTCGTTTTTTGACGGTCCCGAGGGCCGGTAAGGCCCCCCAGAGGCCAAAAATAGTGAAAAACCTCCCGTCGTGATTTTTTCATAACTCGAGGGGGTCTGGGTAGGGGGACAGGCCCGACTTAATGCTCGTCCCCGTCCGGCCCGTCCGCCCTCCCCGCTGGCCCCCCCCCCGGCCCCCCGGCGCGGGACCCGGGCGGCGGCGGGGGAGGAGCCGCTGCTGGGGCGCTACAGGCGCTCGCAGGACACCACAGGCTCCGTGATCCTCCTCCAGCCTCCTCCTCCTCCTCTTCCTCGTCCTCCTCCTCCTCCTCCTGCTCCTCCTCCTCCTCCTCCTCCTCCCTCGTTCCCTCCCTCATGCCTCGCTCCCTCACTCCTCCTCCTCATCCTTCTCCTCCCTCCTGCCTCCTCTTCGTCCTCCGCCTTCTCCTCCTCCTCCTCCTTCTCCTCCCCCCGTCCTCCTCCTCCTCCTCCTTTCCTCCACCTTCTCCTCCTCCTTCTCCTCCCTCGTTCCCTCCCTCCCTCCCTCCCTCTCTCCCTCTCTCCTCCTCCTCCTCCTCTTCCTCCTCCTCCTCTTCCTCCTCCTTCTCCTTATCCTTCTCCTTCTCCTTCTCCTTCCTTTCTCTCTCCTTCCTTTCTCTCTCCCTCCCTTTCTCTCTCCCTCCCTTTCTCATCCTCCTCGTTCTCCCTCATGCCTCCTCCTCCTCCTCCTCCACGTCCTCCTCCTTTTCCTCCTCTTCCTTTTTCCTTCTCCTCCTCGCGCTTTCTGCCTCTTGCACCGCTTCTGGCACCGCAGGCGTCGTCAAAGTGAAGAAGGTTGACTACTCCAATCTGTCCACCCTCGTAAACCGATTTTTCAGCTCCGACGAGATCAATCTGTACACGCGTCTGGTGGACCCCAAGACCGGCATTGTGAAGCTCGCGAAGGACGTGCCGTCCAACGTCTCCAAGCTCGACGAGAAGGCCAACGCCGCGCGCCTGCTGGGCATGCTGAACTTCCTGGAGCTCTGCGCGGACGCCGAGAACGACGTGGACCTGTGCATCTACATGGACTTCTGATAAATACCCTCGCCACGATCACTGGTCCAACCCTGCCCCCATTTGCCCACCGCCTTCAGTCCCCGTCGGTTTCGACGGGCGGGTTGGCTCCTTCCTCGTCTCCCCTCCTCCTCCTCCTCCTCCTCCTCCTCATCATCATCATCCTGGTCCTGATCCTGCTCCTCCTCCTTCTCCTCTTCCTCCTTCCCTCCTCAGCATCCTCCTCCCTCGTCCCGCTCCCTCGTCCTCCTGCTCTCCTGCTCCTTCATGGATACGGGTGGTGTGAATCATTGTGGTCGTAACGATGGCAGCGCAGGACTCCACCACGTTTGTGCACAGGTCGAACGAGACCGGGATCGTCGAGCAGGCGTGCGAGACCCTTTTTGCATTCCAGTCTCGTTGTCCCATGGCCCACTCAGCATGCAAAAATTAGGAAGGAGGAGGAGAAAGAGGAGGAGGAGGAGGAGGAGGAGGAAGAGGAGGAGGAGGAGGAGGAGGAGGAGGAATTACGAGGAGGAGGAGGAAGAGGAGGAGGAGCAGGAGGAGGAAGAAGAGGAGGAGAAATTTGGGGAGGAGAAGGAAGTTGACGAGGGGGAGGAGGAAGAAGAGGAGGAGGAGAAAGAGGAGGAGGAGGAGGACGGGGAGGCGGGGAGGAGGAGGAGAACGAGTGGGGCGGAATCGGAGGAGTTCGAGAAGGAGGAAGGGGTGGAGGAATTGGACGAGGAGGAACACGAATTGGATGACGATGGGGAGGAGGAGAAGGAGTTCGATGAGGATAAGTCTGAGGAAAAGGACTCGTCTTCCGAGGCGGTCAAGGTGTTCCAGCAGAACCCTCAGGCCGTGGTGCTGAACCCGCCGGACATGTGCACCTACCGGAAGGCCACGGAAAACAACGTCTGCAAGGCGATGCGTTCAAGCAGTCGGAGTAGGAGGAGGAGGAGGAGGAGGAGGTGGAGGATCAAGGAGCCGCCGGAGGAGGAGGAGGAGGAGGAGGAGGAGGAGGAGGAGGAGGAGGGAGAGGAGGAGCAGGAGGAGGAGCAGGAGCAGGAGCAGGAGCAGGAAGAGGATGATGATGATGATGATGATGATGATGATGATGATGATGATGATGATGATGATGATGATGATGATGATGATGATGATGATGATGATGATCATGATGATGATGATGATGATGATGATGATGATGATGATGGTGGTGGTGGTGGTGGTGATGATGAGGTTTATGTTGCTGATGCTGATGATGCTGATGATGATGACGATGCTGATGATGAGGATATGCGGATGCTGATGCTGCTGATGATGCTGATGCTCATGTTGATGCTGATGCTGCTGCTTTTGTTGATGCTGCTGATGATTGTGGTGATGATGCTGACGATGATGATGATGATGATGATGATGATGATGATGATGATGATGATGATGATGATGATGATGATGATGATGATGATGGTGATGATGGTGATGATGATGGTGTCCCAATGATGATGATGCTGTTGACGATGTTGATGAGGATG